GGGCCTGCCCGGCCCCGGAGAGCCCCCACCCCGTCCCCGGTCGGCCCCCCGTACGGCTCTGAACACAGGTGATGTAGAAACGTAGAAAATAACTCTTTAACAGGAAGCATAAGGCTGCCGCCCGGGCACAGGGAGCACGGGATGGGGCCAGCAGCCCTCGGCGCAGGTGCTGCTGCAAGGGAGCAGGCTGGGGAGACCCAGGGTCAGGGCCAACCCTCTGCTTGCTGCTTCTACTTCAGGTAGAGACAAACACGCCAAAAAAACCCCAAACCAACCCCTGCAGTGCCACACCAAGACGAGCACTGTGCTCGGCAACACCAAACACTCCTAGGTCAGGCCTGGCTCGGCCACCTTGGTCTCCTGCAGTCAAGGCTGTGGCTTGGTGGGATGGAACTTTGTGTCGTCTTCCGCGCAAGTTTCAAGGTATATATACTGAAGCAAAACATAACCTGTCCAATCACTTTAACAGCTACCCATCATTAAGGCTTAGGTTTTGCAAGGATTTATCTTCAAAAAACAAAATATATTTCTTTTTTTTTCCCATCATTTCCAGCATTCACTTCATGCTGTTTTATGACCTCTTCATCTTTGCAGTGGCAGCCACGCTTGGAGAACAAAGAACCTCCACCCCTCTCAACCCAGCAGCCTGGTGAGAGCAGTCATATTGCTTGATTTCCATACACATCCCAACAGCTAGTGATCCTTTAGGAAGTACAAACCAAGAGAGCCACGTTTCCTTGCCACGCAGCTTGGCGAGTGCCCCATCTCAATACAAACATCAAATTAATTTTGTGAACATTTGGAGAACCTGAGAACTGACTTAACGCTTGAAACCCACAGTGAGCAAAGGCAGAACTGGCACATGCTTCCTCCCTCTCAGCAGCAGCGTCGCCATGCCTAAGGCCAGAGCTACTCCACGTTGAGCTTTGTTTTTATGTTCATGGCTGCCAGCTCCGCCACAAAGTAACGGAAGACATGGGGCACAGGGACAACCTCGATCGTATCCACCTCGCTGCAAACAGAGCAGGAGTACCTCCTGTTGCTTGTCACAGAGGAGGAGTGTGGCGGTTTCTCCAGCACGGGAGATGTCATGCTGCCGCAGCTCATGCAGACATAGGCTATGGAGCCATCGGAGCAGTTGAACAGGCGGTCTTGCAGCAAGAAAGACGTGCCATGAGCCAGCAAAGCATCACGCTCCATCTCGCCAAAGCGAATCCCACCTTCCACGTTCCTCCCCTTGACAGGCTGGTTGGTGACAGTGTCTCGGGGCCCCGTCGTCCTCACCTGGAACTTGTCCGAGACCATATGGCGCAGGCGTTGATAATACACCACTCCCACAAAGATCTCCGCCTCCAGCTCCAAGCCACTGATGCCACTGTACATCTTTTCTGTCCCGAAGAAGTTATAACCTGCACTCACTAAAGTCTCACCGAAGTATTTCAATGCAGAGTTCTTCTCTGTGAAGGTGAAGGGAGTGGCGTCGTAGGAGATGCCGTGTAGTGCTGCTGACTTCCCTGCCATGCTCTCGATTAACATCCCAATGGTCATACGGGAGGGAAAGCCATGAGGGTTGAAGAGGATGTCTGGAACCATCCCGTTCTCTGTGAATGGCATATCCTCAACTGGCCAGAGCTGGCTCAGGATACCTTTCTGTCCGTGACGGCTCGCAAATTTGTCTCCAACAGTTGGATTTCGGGGAACCCTCAGAGTGATGCAAGCCTTCTTGAATTTCCCGGTGCCACGGTCATTACTGCATAATCTGACATTGTCTACAATGCCAACTTCCTTATTCCTGTGTAGGTGAAAAAACAATCACAGCAAAGGTGTGTGTGTGACTTTTAGCAGGAAAAATAAAACCCTAAACCTCTTCATAAGTCTCATAAAATGCCTCGGGACAGCTGGGGAACAACACTGTTCTTGAAAATTACTATTCAGTAGCAAGGGAAATCAGACTGCATTAAGAATTAGGGCAAGGAAGCAATGCAACAGCATCGCCCAAGTGCCATTCATTTGCTTTTTCTAAAACTGGAAGCACAGCTACAACTTTCAGGTGATCAGGTAATGTGCCACCCATGAATTAAAATAAAGATCGTTTAAACCTGGTTCATCTGTATTGCACTTCATCTGACAAACTGCATCCCAGTGCCATTTGTTTTGTGTTAAGGCAGCAGTCCCTCTCCCTGCCCCCAATAAATTCAGACCATCTTGGTGGCATACCAAAAGAAAGAACTGTGCAAAGCAGAAAGGGGAGTTTAGAGCAGAAAGGGAAGGCACAGCGTGAGCTGAGAGGGCTTTGGCAACACGTGTCTTGTGCAGGGGCATGCTGCTTCTCCAGATGAACCCTCAGCCTGATATTCCATGTGCTAGGTGTCTGCTGCAGGCTTAACTGCTATTACAGAGCTTTCAGCCCAAACCTGCTACTCATTTTGGGGATGACAGCTAAGGAATAAATCCGTTTTGTCCCATGTTAAGGCAAAGTTACTTTTCTTCTTCTCCTTTGAAGCGATAGTCAATATTTGTTTGCAGAAGGTCTGTACCTAAGTTTAACTTCTGTTTCAAAGCTGTTATTGCTGTGTCCAAATGCAATCAGGGTACAGGCCATCACAATCAAATAAGCAAGAAAACTGTGCCTCATAAGCCTCTTCCAAGTTTTTTCAAACTTTTGTTCCGTCCTCCCTTTCTGCCATGCATAAAATCTATCAGCATGTGCAGCACTCAGGACAATAGGGAGACCTCCCTCTTCAGGGCCCCAGGTCTGTGGAGCAAACTGGGGGCAGGAGCCAACACTGAGAGCTGAGAAGCTCACCTCAGTAGGAACCTAAATAATTATCTGATTTGGACCAAGAATGAAAAAAAGCTGAATGGCACAGAGAGGAAACAGCTGTCTGGGTAAAGAATCTGAACTAAGGCTGGGCAGGTATGAGAGCTGGGGAGCAGAAGCGTGGAGTCGGGGAGCCAAAGAGGGCTCCGCAAGTGCAAGGACAAGGCTGAGCTTACAGATCCCCACTACCATGTGCCAAATCTCTTAGCTCTGCTCTATGATCAGAATGACTAATTTTAGGAGTCCACAGCAGTCTCCTCAGTGCAGCTAAGGTACCATCTGTTACAGAGTAATAAACAACAGCTTTTCTAGTAATGTCATTACTGCGTTACCCAAGTAATTCTCAAACTAATTCACTTTCACAATGTGAGTAACTACACAGCATTATCCTCACTCTGTCAATGCTGTAGAGACACACAAACTGGGAGTGTAGGATGCATTTAAATATATCAGTTTTTGTCAGTGATTTTTGCTTCACTTTCCTAAATGAAGAGGATTTAAATGAAAATGTCATCAGCCTTCCCTCTTTCAAGTGAAGTTCAAAAGTCTTACAAAAACTTAGCCCCAAAATATTCCAGGGGGAAGGAGGGGTGTAGTTGACGCATTTTAATACTGTAGCAGTTTGGAAGCTGCAATGTTAATAAAAATGCTCTTTGAACCCCTAATCCTTTAACAACTTGGCTTACAAGGTTTTCTGGCAAGTCTCTGGGACAGGCACTTTGTTTTGGTTTTCTGTTT